CTAGTCGGTAGATGTAGCCCGTTCTAGATCGTCGATTTTCCCTGTCTCCCGCGTGATCGGCGTCGACGTATCCGAGTAGTCGTACGGACGGTGTTGTTGCCTTGCTGTAGGTGAGCCCGATCGTCGGCGTGGAGACGAAGTAGAGTAGCGCCCGATTGAGCTCTTCGAGATCTTCCTGTTCCGGCTGCTTCAGATGCGTCGCCAATTGACTCGCACTATAGGACAGGTCGGGTCGGCAGGTTACTGCTGCGAATAGTAGGCAGCCGAGCTTCTGTTGATACTCCTGGATTTGCTTCGCGGGGAGTTTTGCGGAGGCGCTGTTGTTGTTCCCGTAGCGGTAGGGAGTTGGGACCGCAGTCGGTGTTAGACCGAATTTCTTCGCGACGGTGCCAGAGTACTTTCCGGCGTGTAGGTAGAACGCCGTGTCGTCTTCGTCGACATTCAGTCCTAGGTACTGAGTCACTTCGTCGGACACCGTAAGCGTTAAGTCCTCTTTCAACTCCCCTTCGAACCAGGTGGCGATGTTGGTAGTGGAGCCGATGTAGAGCAGGTCGTCGACGTAGACGATGAGTAGGACATACTCGCTCCCCTTCTGCAGTCGGTACATCCCTTGGTCATGCGGCAGTTGTAGGAATCCGATTTTTGCGAGACGGCCGTGAAGGTGCTGCTGCCAGAGCCGCGGGGCTTGCTTGATCCCGTATAGGGATTTTGTCAGTCGGCATACTTTCGTGGGGTCGTCGATGAATCCGTGGGGTTGTTCGACGAAGATCTCAGCATCCACAGATGCGTATAGGAATGCGTTGGCGACGTCGATTTGGCGTAGTGGTAGTGTCTTCGTGGCCGCGACGGCGAGTAGGATGCGTAATGAGGTGTGACGGGAGACTGGAGCGAAGGTTTCTGTGTAGTCAGTTCCATATCGTTGATCGAAGCCTCGTACGACCCATCGAGCTTTGAATCGTTCGATGGAGCCGTCTGAGTTGGTCTTGATGCGGTACACCCATTTCCCCGAGAGGACGTTCTTCCCGTTGATGCTTGTTGCAGGTACCAGTTTCCATGTTTCTCGGTCTTGCAGAGCCTTTAACTCTTTTTCCATCGCTTCTTTCCATTTTGCCTTATGTTCCCCCCCCAGAGCCTGCGACAAGGTAGAAGGCTCACGCGGAGAAGGCGGCGGCGGATGCTGGACGGAGACCCAGAGGCCTAGGATCTGCAGTCCCGTGGGAGTGTGTCGAGGGGAATTTTCATTCCCGGAATAAGCTGCTTCGTCACCGTCTTCTGGGTCAGGTAAGAAGTTGGGACCGATGCGTTCTGAAACGTTTGTGTCGACTGGGTGGGGTGTAATGTAACCTTGGTCAGCGAAGTGGTAAAAGGTATCGAGGTTGTTGCTATCGAGAGGATTGTCTTCGTCGAGTGGAACAGGTACGGAACAGAATGGGAGTGGTCCGGCAGCTTCCGAGGCTCCAGGTACGTCTTCTTCTGCTGCGTCAGCTTCGGCAGCATGGTCGGCGAAGGAACGAAGTCCCGAGAAGCCGTCGGTGGGGTCTTGTGTGTTGGCAATGTTGTCCAGGTAATGCTGCAGCGTCAGTCTCTCGTAGAAGATAACATCACGTGATGCCACCGTGTTTTTGTCTTGTATGTCGAGAATTTTCCACGCGTGAAAATGTTTGGCGATGCCGAGGTGTAGTCCCCACCGAGCTCGTTGTGTGAAGCGTCCTGCTCGGGCTGTGTGGGGTCTGTACTGTACCATGCAGCCGAAAACTCTGAGTAATTTTGTGCTGCCCCTTTTTCTTGTCCACAGCAGGTGCGGTGATGCGTTGTTGGGAAGCGATGACGAGGACAACAGGTTGTGCAGGTGAACGGCATGCGTCATCGCGTCTGGCCACAGTGTGGTGGGCAGCCTCATCCCCAGAAGCAGTTTTCGCATCGTCGTCTGCAAGGTCCGATTCATGCGTTCTGCGACCCCCTGCTGTTGGTGAGCGTAGGGCAGGGACACCAAGCGTCTGATTCCTCGTTCCGCCAGATAGGTCCTGAAGCGTTGTGACTGGTATTCCAGTGCACCGTCTGACTGGAAGCTCTTGAGTGTGAGTCCTGATTCTCGTTCGGCGATGGGAAGCCATGTTGTGAAGGCTTCGAAAGCTTGATCGCGCGTCTTGAGATTGAAGTGCCAAACGTATCTGGTTGCTGCGTCGATGAACGTGATGACGTAGTTGAAGTCGGCTTCGGTGTCTTCTCGAGGCATGTTTAAAATATCGCTGTAGACCTTTTCCATCGGAGCGTAAGTAGGTGCGCTTGGGTTGTGATGAGATGGGAAAGGTTGATGAGGAAGATCTGCTTCGGGGCACGTGAAGCACCGTGCTCGTGGTCGTCGAAGTTCTTGGCCGCTCGTCGTTAGAAGGGCGTTGCGTTCTAACACCTCTGCTTGGATTGTTTGTAGTATCGTGCTGTTTGCAGGATGTCCGAGACGTTGGTGCCAGATGTCGTCGGAAGCGCGATGACCAGGCGAGCGGTGGTAGATGTCGGCGTTGGAGAAGAACGCGACGACTGAGGCGGGACTTCGACAAACTTCTCGTGTGATGGGCATAAGCTGGTCTGCTTCGGTTGGCGGTCCTCGGGTCGCTGGTGGTGGGACTCGGCTGGGTCCTGCTGCCGATACTGCAGGTGATGGTTTGGTTGGGATACTTGCGGGTACTTGTCTTTCTTGTCTGATAACTGCTAATGCTCGTGTTCTCTCTGCTGCAGGTATGGTGTTGGAGTGCCAGAAGCCGTCACTGTCGAAGTCGGGATCAAGATCCGGCGGGTGAGTCCAGGCGGCGAACGATACGATACCGTCGCTGTCGGCAGTACCGCGGTCGGGGACGAAGTCCAACACGAAGACGCCGGACTTCAAGAGGGCACGACCGATGAAGAGTCCGCCCTTCCCGTGGTAAAGCCGAAACTCGTTGGAGTAAGAGTCGCACTCCAGGTGAATCCCCTTGGCCATTAGTTGGCTTACGCTTAGTAGGTTGTATCCCAGGTTGTCGACAATGAGCACTTTGTTGAGCTGAAGTATGACGTTTGTCTCCATGGATTGTAACTGAACCACGCCTTGTCTGTTTGTCTTCAGGTTTTCGTTGTTGGCGACGGTGATGACGACGTCGCGGTTGAGGCGTTTCTCCTGTTGCACGAAGCGTCCCGAGGAGCACATGTGTTGACCGCAGCAGCTGTCCAAGAACCAGGTGTTTCGCCCGGTGGGTTCGGCGTTGGCGACCGCAGCGTATGTCGGGTTAACTGGAAGTCCCTGTGAGCGCGGCGGCGGTAGCTCTTCTTCGTCTGGCGCGTAGGTAGGTGGTGATCCGGGTGCGCAGTTGTCGATGTGTACCATGCAATTGATAATGTTTGGTGTTTGTTGTGCAGATGTTGAAGAGCGCCTTGGGGGACTTGCTTGGGTGGAAGCGACTTGTGGGTCTGCTGATCGGTAAACGCGTGGGCGGTTGCAGTTGACCTTGGAGTGCCCGGAGGTCTGACAGTTGTGGCAGAACGGCGGCACGAAGGTGAGTCCTCTGTTGTCGCGTTGATCCTGTTTGCCGCGTCGATTGTAGTTATTGTCGTTCCTTCGTTGAGTGTAGAAAACTAACTGCTGCTGCTTTCTTGGTTGTCTTTCTTCGAACAGGTCCATCTCTTGTTGTTCAGCGTGAAGCTCGGCGCAGAGGTGCATCTCCGAGATTCTTCCGTGGGCACGAAGTAGCGAGCGTGTGGTTCTCCATTCTGGCCCGAGCCCCGCGAGGACAAGTGTCACGAAGCTCTCTTCAGTGATTGTCCCTCCGCACCGAAGCAGGCGGTCGCGGAGGGTCTGGCAGCGACTCATATACTGCATCGCCTTTTCCCCGGTCTTCATCTGAATTGTTGTCAGTTGTTGCATGAGTCTGCTTTGTGTCACGCTGTCGTTTGCTTGGTAAAGGCACTTGAGATGGTGCCATGCGAGCTCCGCGGAGTTTCCATAGCTCCTGTATGTTCTGATGCTCTGCTGTTCTTGTGGTGACAGGTTTCTCAGGAGAACCGTATACGCCAGCAGCGACTGATACGTGAAGATTTCTTGTTCCTTTCCAGTGCCGTTGCTTGGGAATGGCAGGGACCCGTTGAAGTATCCCAGAAGATGCGCGGCCTCCATCAGCAGCTCGAACTCGAAGCTCCAGGTAAAGAAGTCGTGTCCGTTGAACGGTGAGGATGTCTGTAGCTTGATGACGTGTGAAAATTGCGCCTGGAGACTTAGAATCTCGTTTGGCGTTTGTTGTGATGCAGCTGCTGTTGGTTGGGCACGGGGCGGCATAAACTCGAACGTCCCCGGTGAAGAGTGATAAGGCGCAAAGGTAGGCGCTTGATTGTGTCGCCCAAACGATGAGTTGTCAAGGCTCATCGGTGCTAATCCCATGTTTCCTCCATTGCTCTGTGTCGAATGCGCAGGTGTCCTTGTCTGCTGCTGCTGGTCGAAATGCGACATGAAGCTGAAGAATCTTTCCATAAGGTTGGGGTCCACGCTTGAAGAGGGAGATGGAGTTACCATCTCTGGTACCCTTGCTGTTGTTTCTTGAGCAGTCCCGGTCTCTGTCTGCAGTCCTGAGGTGTGCAGACCAGAGTTGCCGTGTTGAGTTTCTTGGCCGCTGGGTGAGCCCGTAGAGACTTTCTTGCCCTTGCTGTCCATGTCTTGTAATCAATGAAGTTGTTGAATTTGAGCTAAGTTGCAGCTTTGTTGATGAAGCGCAGTTGCTGGGAGTTTGGTCTCTGACCAGCTCTCATACCATGTTGGGCTGAGACAAGCCCTTAGGATCTTTTGCAGAGACTAAGTCCAGCTGTAGAGACTTTCAGACTTTGAGTAGTGCAGCGGAAGTTTGAGACAGTTGAACCCTTGTACTAGTATGTGAGAACAAGTGATTGATTAAAGAAACAAGCATACAGCAATATATAGAAGGTAAGAAGGCAGTTGTAGAGTACAGTTATAGAAACGGTTTATCGAGTCGCACGGCGACTCGATTACCGCTTCGGTTACCATCCGTGATGTTGTAACGGTCAGTTGCAACCTCCAGTTGCGACCTTTCGTGTCTTTTCGTATTCTTTGTCCGCCCCCTCATGTAACCTCCGTTGACTCGCGTGCTCCCCTGTAGTCTTCCTCGAGTGCAGTGTTACACTTCAAAAACGCTCAAGTCCTTTGAGATATTTCCAACAACCGGGACGGTTATTTGTCCGTACTGGAATGCCAGTCATTTTATCATTTCCAACACCATCATGTCTGCCACTCCATCATGCCATTACACCGTGCCATGTTTCGAGGCCATCTCACCGTGGCCCCATGCCCCCAGGTTCCTGCGGGCGGGGCTGACGGCGCACAGGCGGGGGCAGCCGCTGGTGGCGCACAGTCAAGTCAAGGCGCTGCTCCACCAGAAACCGACCTCACCACTGCTGACAACCAGGTGCGCACCTGCTGCCAGCCACGCACTGCACACCTCCATGGCTCCACCTCTCCTGCCTTTCCTCCACTCCTTTCACACCCTCCCCCAGGTTTTTCCCACCCCCATCAAAAGAGAATAAGGTCCCTTCTTCTGTTCAACCCCCCCCCCCCCCCCCCCCAGCCCCACCCACCAACCATCCCTCCATCCCCCACCCCCCCCCCAGTCCACCATCCCCCTGCAGAACACTGACACGCTCTACGCCAGTGCGTGGCTCGACCTCGCCTCGGGCCCGCTGCTCCTCGCCCTGCCCCGCGTGCCCGCCCCGCGCTACGACAGCGTGCTGCTGCTCAGCCCCTTGAGCAACGTCATCGCTGTGCATGGGGCACACACCCATGGGCCGGGCCCGCTTGCGCTGCTGGTGCAGTGGTGGGGGCAGGGGGAGGCGGAAAAAAGGGAGGTTACCAGCTTCAGTTCAGTCAGGGAGGCGCAGCAGCATCAGGGGGATCGGGAGAGGGGGGAGGGGGAGGGAGATGGGCATGAAACAGCAGTGGCGGCACGGCGATGGATAAGAGTGTTCAGAGTAGCATGCGCAGCGTGTTTGTGATGGTGCGCATGCTGGTGGTGGGGTATGATAACATGCCTGCTGCGAGCAGCTTGCTCTGGCAAGGAGTGTGCTGCTACCGTCACCCACATCTCACCTCACCCTGCCTCCCTTTCTTCCTCACCCCTCCCCTCCCTTCTGCCCCTTTTCCCCTCCCATTCCCATCCCTTCCCCTCCCCACTCCCCTCTCCCTCTTGTCACTGGCAGGGCTGCCAGATAACATGCAGCTGTTGGTGCTCATCGACCGCACCCTGCAGAGCAACCCTCCCACTCAGGGCGTTGCTAACCTCGAGTGAGTCTCACATTCACCTTGCTCTCAATACAGCCACGTGCTCGTGTTTCTCTCAGTATTGTCACAGCCTCTTGGTGGTAGCCCACTAACATCCCTCCCTCGCCCCCTCTTCCCCGTCGTCCTGTGCCTTCTCTTTCCCTGTCATCCTGTGTCGTCCCCTCTTCCCCACAATCCCCACCCCACACCCCAGTGTGCTCTATCAGCTCGCAGCCATAGCATATCCCCAACTAATCTGGGGGCGGCTGGCAGCACGAGCAGCTTGCCGCCCGAAACGAGACTCTGCACGTGCGAGGTGAACCTGGCTCTCATCCCCTGCGTCCATGCCACCTCATCCCTGTGGGGGTCCACGTGCGCTGCGCCATGTTAGGACGAAAGGCGGGGCGGTGAGAGGTAATCCACAGGCCACGGCAGTGCCAGGCGTCCATCAGCTGAGAGGGGCGAAGGCATGGAGGGCAGTGCATGGCATGGGAAGGCATAGGTTGGGGCCGGTGGTGGGTGGTGGTCCGATCGGCGTCACAGTATCCGGGTTCCAATAGCTGGGGGGGTGGGGGAGGATAGGTATATCTGTGAGAGTGGGTGACATGGGGAGCGGTACATAGGGGGGGAGGGTGGATGGCAGGTGGATGAGAGCGGGCAGCGAAACGGAGATGCAAACGGGATGCATGGCTGATGCTGCTCCTATGCCCACCTGCAGCCCCCACCCACCTGCAGCCCCCGCATGGCCTCCTCCCCCTCATGCACACTGCCCAGCTCGCCGCCCTCCTACCTGCCACCCGAATCTCTTCCGGCCGCCCACCCAGTGCGTACATGTGGCGAGATGTAGTCATAGATTGCACGGGCGACATCTCCGTCTGCTAGCTGAAATGCATCTTTTGCTACCAGCCCCTGGTGACGGGCCGAAGAGAGGAGGAGGAGGAGGCAGGGGGGGGAGGAGGAGGAGGAGGAGGAGGAGGAGGAGGAGGAGGAGGAGGAGGAGGAGGAGGAGGAGGAGGAGGAGGAGGAGGAGGAGGAGGAGGGAGAGGCTAGGGAGGGGGAGCGCAGGAGCGCGGAGGTGACAAGGGGCTTCTCTAGCGAACCAGCCCACTGGGGCGTGGTGAGGGAGGGCAGAACAGGGGGGCAGAACAGGGGGGAGAACAAGGGGAGAAATGGGCAAGAAAGAGTGCGTGATGTGATCACACACATTGAGGTGGCGCTTGCACCACCAGCAGCACTCACCCGCACCCATGGACGGCTGCAGCACTCACCCGCACCCATGGACGGCTGCAGCACTCACCCGCACCCATGGACGGCTGCAGCACTCACCCGCATCCATGGACGGCTGCAGGAGCTGAGCGCCGGCCATATGTGATGCGGAGAAGACGCCGCAGTGGTTGGCTGGGATGCTGGAGGGTAGGGGATTGCACGGGGTGCAGAACGGTACAAGGGGGTGGACGGTCTGTCAGGTGTGGTACACAGCGGGACTGGGGTGAGAGGAGGTGAGGTGAGGGAATGGTACATGGATGCATGGGATGCGGGCTGGATGAGATGGATGGTCGAGATGGATGCTCATGCACATGCTCATGCACATGCACATGCACATGCTCATGCTCATGCTCATGCTCATGCTCATGCTCATGCTCATGCTCATGCTCATGCTCATGCACATGCGTACGTATGCACACACGCCACTCCACCCACCTGCACGAGAGGCGCGGTGGCATGGGGGGCGTCATGCGTGCCCATCCACGTGGGATTGCCGAAGCCTGTTGGGAAATCCGCCACCTGCACTGGCACACCCCTGCACCGGCGCACAAGGGAGGCCCGCTCTGAAAGCGCTTTTAGCGGGCATAGGGCAGGAGCCTGGGAGCGTCAGCAGCAGGGGACACGTGCAGGGTTGCGCAAGAGGCAGAGGCAGAGCGAATGAGGCGCTTCAATGTCCCCGTCTTCCTCAGCACACGCTTTGCATCGCCTCTCGCACTAGTGCCGTTCCACCCCCACATCAGCCCCAAATCATCCCCACCCCCACACGACCCCCATTTCCACTTCCCCCCTTCTCTCCCCCCCTCCCCCACGCACGTCGCACATGTCCTTGACGGCGAACGTCAGCCCGTGCAACGGGCCGTCTCTCGCCGGGCGCCACGCACGTGCAGTGTTCCACAAACGCGCGCATCTCCCTCCCCCTCGCTATTATCGTATCCTGCCCCACTCGCCCTCGCACCGGCGACCGGCGCGGTTTGTCGGGCACGAGAAGAGTGAGTTGCGGTGTGCATCGGGGGGGGATTAGGGGGAGTAGACGAGGTGAACGGAAATGGCACCGTGAAAGGAAGGAGAGGGCCGACAGCTGCGAAGCGGCGCTGGGAATTGCTGCGGTGAATACATGGCAGGTGCCGTGGAGGTAAGCAGAGCGCGCAGACGAAATCGAGGATGCTGATGCATGCGACGTGCGTAATCGCGGAGGGAAAATAAATGGCGCGAAAATACGAATGCGGGGATGTGGTGTGGAGGGGGGAGCTTTGAATGCGAGCTGGTGTGTCATGCAGGGGAGTGCGGGGGAGGCGAAGTCCGCACAATGCTGCCGTTTGAGGATGCTCCGAGATTCAGTAGTACACTGATCTGAGATGTATAATGCGCCAATAAATTGTGTAATAAGCAAGATGCACACTAATACATTCCGTCTATCGTTGCATTGAAAAGAAGGCGTGGTCGGGCAGGTTTGCGTCGATCTGGCGGAGCCACTGCGCCGCTGCGGACTCCAAGGCCTGCACGGCCCCCCGGTCCGCCCACACACTGCCCCACATCCTGTACCCCGCAAAGCCAAAGGGCACCAGAGGAGCCAAAAGAGTTCCTCGTGGCCTGCCCTCGCTTGCACGGGCAGCTGAAAAATCCGAGGATATTTGACCAGGCAGCTGGCTTAATTGTTTGACGGGGTGGTAGAGGGGAAGCGAGGGGGGGGCGATCCAGAACCTATCTCTACACCTGCTGCAGGAACCTGGGATGGACAGGGAGAGGAGAGGAAGAGAAGAAGGACGAAGAAAGGGCAGGACGGGGTGTGCATGAGAGGAAAGAAGGGGGAGGGGATAAGTTGAATCGCAACTACGGCGAATCAGATGAGGGTGGTTGCAGGCGAGAGGTGCGCTCAGCAGTACAAACAAGCCGGAGGGAAGCAAGCCCAAACTGCCGGTTAAAAGCAACCACATCATAAACACTAACCTAATTAATGTGACAAACTGGCACTGACCAGAGGAGGGCAGCGGCGAGGAGAGGCTGTGGAAGGTGAGGAAGGAGGCGGCGAGGTCTCGAGTGGCGGGGCCCGTGGGAATGCTGTACACTGGGTACCTGCACCCGCCGGGGCACACAGGCGGGCGGGTGGCGGCGGAAGTGGGGGGGCAAGGAAAGGAGTGGGCGGCGGGAGTGTGTTGGGGCGGGGGGAGGGGGGTTGGGGTTGGGGGTAATGAGGACACACGGTGGCAGGAAGAGTAGGACAAAAGTGGGAACACAAGGCATATCACAGGGCAGAGGATGATGAGGGGGATAAGGGAGGTGAGGGAGATAATGAGGTTGAGGGGGGTGAGGGGGACTAGGGGGACGAAGTGGGAAGAGGCGGATTGCCAAGGAGGGAGAGTGCAAGCGCACCATGCGATGGCCAACCAGCTGCGCGGATGCAGCTGGAAGCTGGAGGTGCGTGTGAGCAGCGCGCAGTCCCTCTCCAGCTCCGCCACCTGCAGCATGCCATGAGATGCGAGGAGGCGACACGCACAGAGAGCGGCACATCCATGCAGCAGCAGCGCAGCATCAGCCCATGATGACTAAACGGGCTTCACGGCAGCAACTATGAGAGTGAACGACTTCAAGAAGAGGGCAGTGCATGTGCGGTGGCACCTTGGCGAAGAGCGGCGGGCGAGAGTGGGGCGGCGCGTGTTCAAAGAACTCCAGCAGCGGCTGGCCCCCGCTGCAGTCGCGGCACCATGAGTCCGCGCTGCCCTCGCACGTGCCGTTGCCACCCTCCTCTAAGTATTCCTCCCAGGGGGAGGACGTGGAGTGGAGAGAGGAAGCCAAGCTGGGCTGCTCCGGTGGGCTGTGAGCGTGCATGCACGGGGCGTGCAGGGGAGCGGGGGCGGGGAGGCGGGAGAAGAGCTGGAGGCCGGAGATGGAGGGTGCGTAGTGCTGCGTGGCGGGCGCGCCTGAGGGCAGGTGCAGCGGCACGGCGGCGCTGTATGCGCTGCACTCCTCCAGCGCGTCCCACAGGTCGCCCAGCACGAAGAAAGGCGACGGGGACGACGCGCGCGGGTGCTTGGGGTGAAGCCCGTTGTGGTGGTGCTCGTCCCAGTCCTGAGAGAGGGACGGGCCACGGGGCGGCAGAGGGCCGGCATGAAGAGAAGGAGGGAAAGCGGTGATTCGAACCACGACAGCAGGGAGAATGGGCGAGCGAGAGGAGGCAAGAGGAGCACACATATTTCAGGTGGTACCTGGGGGAAGGGAGAGGGGGGGGTGGTACCTGGGGGAAGGGGCAGAGGGCGGGTGGGACATGAGGGAATGGAGAGGGGGATGGTGGAATCTCGGAAAGGGGGCAGAGGGCGGATGGTACCTGGGGGATGGGAGAGGGGGAGGGTGGCACCTGGGGAAAGAGGCAGAGGACGGGTGGCACCTGGGGGAAGGGGCAGAGGGCGGGTGGCACCTGGGGGAAGGCAGAGGGGGAGGGTGACACCTGGGAGAGGGGGCAGAGGGCGAGTGGCACCTGGGGGAGGAACTGCAGTTTGACGTGCGGGGTGACGTGCGCCAGGAAGCTCTCCAGGTTGCCCGCGACGGGCCGCGCGGGCTCCGCACTGCCCCCCCGTGCGGCCGCTGCAGCCGCGCGCTCGCCCCCCGTCACAGGCACGGCGGAAGACCCCTGCGAGGGGTGCGGCCTCTGGGCCTCGTGGTACGTCCGAACGTGCTGACGTGGCATGGGTGAGGAGCGGCTGGACTTGGCTTGGGAGCGGGAGGGTCGGTGGTGGGAGTGCATAAGCTCATACGGCCATGCCATGCAGTGGGGACGCTGCCACGGCTCGCACGACCAGCGCTGTGGGAACGCTTCAGAGTGCGGAAGTGGAAGCTAGCAGGAGGGAAGGGATACGAGACAGCGGAGGGCGCGGACTGCGGCGAAAGGTAGCGAGCAATGAACCACTTCTGGGCTCTCAGCAGAGTCGTATCGGACGAATCAGAAAAGACGAGGAAGTGGAAGTTACGAACTGGCTAGCGTAGCGTCTTTACAGCAACGGAAGTGAGACGATAACGAGCGAAAATGGCGATGCTCCTCTTTTAGGGCAAACGAGGGCGCGGCGGGATTCACTCTAACAGGAGTAAGGCTGGCGTCAAAGGTGACCGGGACTAAGGAAAACAGGAACATCGGAACAAACTTGGGACCGAATCTGCGTGGGTTTGCCATAATTCAGAAATATTCGGTTGGCTTCGGGTGGTTCGACGAACGGTTCGAAGTATTTTTTTTATCAGTTGATCGAAAATACACTGTAGATCACCTCGCTTGTGGATGGGCTGATCTAGTCCGGTTAGTTTCAATTTGAAAAATGCTTCTTAACGCGAAAGTATACAATAACTTCAAGATTCAAAGGGTTTTGAACCTTGAAAAGGGGTGGCTAAAATAGCGAGGGTGCACCCTCGCAAAAAAGCCAAGCACGTCCCTCACGAAGGCTTGGGTCCTCACAACGGCAGGAACGACCTCGCCAACGCTGGCGACGTCGCAAACTGGTGATGACCGGACTCCACCACGCCTGAGAGCCGTTCGCAAACTCGCGGGTAGGCAGAGTATCATGACTAGTTCGTATTCAAAACGAAATGAGGAACAAACACAACCGAGCGCGCAGAGGACTGAGGCGACAAAAACCTGGAGATGGGGAACAAGAGAAGTACACAACAAAGGCCAAAGCAAGTGAGTAGCTCCAGGAACTAGACCAAGCTGCAAACAGTGCCGCTGATGATCTTTAGGCGCAAGCGCCTTAGTAAAGACATCAGCTGTGTTGACGCATGAGGCCAAGTGTACTACGCGGGTCTGGCGACGCTGCTGTAGCTCGTGCAGGAGGAAGTACCGCAACTGGATGTGTTTCGCTCTGCCCTCGAATCAAGGCTCCTGACACAGGATGATCATGACCATCTTGTCAGCATACAGAACTTGGGCAGAGCGAGGCCGCTCACCTAAGTCTGTGAGCAAGAAAGTCAGCCAGCGAAGCTCCTGTGCCGCTATAGCACCAGCGTAGATCTCAGCCTCGCAGCTGGACTGTGCAACTGACGACAAACGGGTGGACCTCCACGAGACCGCGCCTGCACCAAGGCTGAAGCAGCAGCCCTGAGAGGACCCGAGGGTGTCAGCGTCGTCTACCCAAGAAGCGTCAGTGTGCCCAGTAAGGACCACTGGCCTGCGACCTCCCTGTACTAGCCCCATGCCCGATGAACTTGCTAGATAACGCAAAACCTTCTTAGTGATCGACCAGTGCTGTGGTCGGTGTCCCCCTGTGGCCACAAAGCGAGTCAGGATGCTGAGAGGGTATGCGAGATCTGGACGAGTGCAAGTCATCAAGTACATGAGGCAACCCACCAGCTCTGCGTAAGGACCACTAGGCTCTACTGACTCCCTAGAAACATGAGTGGAGAGCCTGTGGTCTACTGGCAGAGGTGTAGGCTTTGCTGAGGAGAACTGAAGACCGAACCTCTGAAGGACCTGTCGCACCAAGTGTGACTGTGTGGGAGTGATGGTGCGCGTTGCTCTGTCCCTGGCGATCTGCAGGCCAAGGTAGCGGCGCAGCTCTCCTAGGTCAGTGCAAATGTGCCTTCTCAGGAGCTCGGCCTTCACGGAG